TATATAGTCAAGGCTGGTCTTGAACTCGAGGTTTTCCTGCCTTAGAGTACCAGGTGCTTGGATTAAGGCATGAGCTACCATGCCTGAGTCCTAGTGTGTCATTGTTTTGTTTTTCTTGAGACAGGGTCTTACTAGGTAGCCAAATCTGGCATAGAATCTTCCATCCACCTGCCTCAGTGCTGGAATTAAAGGTGTGGGTCACCATGCCCAGCCCTCTTGGGTTTCATTTCTGAACCATAAAACTTTGCCTGTCTGCATGCTAGTGTTATAACACTGGTCAGCTTCACCTCTCTGCCATGTGCCTTACTCTACCAAAGGAGGACTAGTAGTACTACTCATAGGAAGGTTGTGATGATTAACAAAAGTAAAGCACTTGGGCTTGCCTCATGGTCAGTGCTAACTAGGTATTGGCTATTATCGTCGTTGCTGGTTCATATCAACGAACTCATTGATATGTTCTATTATTACCTCCATTTTTAGAGAAAGGAAAGCAAGACTTAGAGAAACACAGTGAACAACTCAAGGCTGAGTCTGTGTAAACCTTAAGCCCAGTAGAGGTCACTCTTCACTACAGAGTGAGAGGAGGTCATGGCCCTCAGAGAGATGATGGACATTGCCAGGGAGCTCAGGTGAGAAGGAGCAACTAGCTGTGTGACAGTCTGAATAAGCTAGACTTCACCCCCTGTCCTCAATACTCCAATTAGAGAAGTAATAATGAAAACCTGATAAAAGCGGTTTGCAATGTGGCCGCATTGAGAAGAGGAATAGTGAGTCCAAGTCCATATTTGGGGCTACAGACGTGGGGAGTAATCACTGATCCATTCTAATTCTGGGCTCTGGTCTGTCCTGTAAGTTGGTCTGCTAAGTTGTCAGAGCTCTTCCTGGGAGGCAGGTTCCTCCTCTGCCTGACACCAGAGCTTCAGCCCTTCCCTTATGGGATTCCTGGGAAACTTCTAATTCTTTGGGATCCATTGTTTCAGAAATCTGATGGAGTCTCTCCTGCTTAAGTGGTTGCAGTCCCTATTGTCTCCCCTCCAGCTCTTTATAGGGACCTCCCAGCTTCAACAGCACAACAGCAGCCAGGTCTAAGGGGCCAGTCCTCCTTCCAAAGGCATCTGCCAGGGCAGCATCCATAGTCTGGGGGGGAGGAACCCACATTCTCATGCTGCAGAGGCCCTGCAGCAGTGAGCTCCATAGTGCAATCCAGAACACCCTTGTTCCTAAGTGGAACTCCAGCCTTGTGGTTCAGTGGTGCCAGGAGTACAGGGCAAGGGGGAGCTGAGAGGGGCAGGGTTGTTTGTGAGCAGAGGTGGCTTCATGAAGTAATCTTGGAGCTGAGCAGATTGCTGCTGGAGTGGAGCCAAGAATGTTTGGAAGTCCCACCCATTTCCCCTTTTCCCTTTTCCTCTCCCCTTCCCTTCCCTCCTTCTTCAGAAGGTTCCCCTTATAGTGAGCAGGTTGGTCTTGAACTCCTGGGCTCAAACAATCCTCCAGCCTCAGCCTCCCACATAATTAAGATTGTGGGGTCACGTCATTGCACCCTGAATGTTTATGACGTTTTAAGACAGAAGAATAGGCTGGGCGTTGGTGGTGCACGCCTTTAATCCCAGCACTCGGGAGGCAGAGGCAGGCAGATCGCTGTGAGTTTGAGGCTGGGCTGGACCGACAGCCTCGAAAACAATACAGAGAAACCCTGTCTCGTAAAAACCAAAAAAAAAAAAAAAAAGACAGAAGAATAGGATGTTCAAAGGCCCAGAGGCAGGAGAGGGCCTGAAGAAAGAAGTGATTCGACATGTCTGGAGACAGGACAGACTAGAAGGAAGGACTATGGTTGTGTGGATGCGTGGGTGTGCTTACCTTATGAGCAGATAGCAAAGAATGTCAGAATCAGGTCCAGGAGTCTTCCTCCCCACAGGGAGAGCCATTGAGGGTGAGACTTGTGAGCTCAAAGCAGCGGTGTGTCGGTGCTCAATGCATAGGCACACATCCACAACACCACCTCAGACACATGGAAAGTGGCTTGATTAGTAGCAGCAGACATTTGGGGCTGGTTAGACCAGCAGGGAGCTACAATACTCTGGAGGAGAGATAAATGAGAGGTTCTACTGAGGTGATGGAGAGTCTGGACCGGCTCCACTGTCTAGCCTAGTCCATACCCCGGGCAGGTTTCATTTATGTGTGGTAAGTGGGGAGAAAGGAATTGCAAGGGAACTGGCTCCCCTTGTTTCCTCGGTGTGTGGGTCCTGTGAGATAAGCCCCTCCCCCAAGCCATGGCCAGCACTTCACACATTCCGTTTTAACCTTTCTCATATTAACATCCAAGGCTCCACTTCCCAGTCCCCACCCTACCCCCACCCCCCGTTAGGAGGGCTGCTGAGGTAAGGGGCCCTTATTCTACTTCTGTGTGTGGCAGGCAGGAAGGGGAGGGGGTGCAGGGAACAGGTCAGGGCCTGCTCACTGTCAAACGAAATAGCCACCCTTTTAAGCCTTTAAGAAACTGTTTTCTTCCAAGTAGATCCCCCGTTACCAAGGCAACTTGAGAACTCTGGGCTTTGTGTTTCTGCCCAGGGTCCCTGGGGAGAGATGGCCTGCTGAGCTTTCCCTAGCCTGGGCATGATACAGGACAAGCTAACTGGAGGTCTCTGTGTTGAGGGAGTCTCTCCCCTCATTCCTTAGGTGCTTATCCCCAGGAGGAGCCCACACCACCCCTACCTGAGCCCCATAAGCCCAAAACAAATGTCTGCAACCACCCTATGGACCATTCATCCCTCTTAGAAGCTGAGGCAGATGTTGGGGAGGAGTGACCTTACACTAGACCATGGTGTCTGCTGAGGAATCCCTGCTACGCGTATTTCTCTATTGTGTACTATGGGTTAGAACTGTATCTCTGACCTGGTGCCTGCTTTGGGAGCTCTACGGGAAGGCTTGGAGGAAACTGGCCAGGAAATGTCATCTGGGCTACTTAGTCCCCACAGCTAGACTGGCATTAGAGTCACCTCAGAAATGTTTTAGAAATAGGAATCACGGAGAGACTGATTCTATCGGCAGTGTAGGTAGAGATTAAGAGCACAGGCTCTGGATGTTACAGTGTGGGGGTGACCGTGAGCCAATTGTGTGAACTTTCAGATCTCAGTTTCTTCACTAAAAAACCATTTAAAGGTCAGAATGCGTAAACAATGAACAGTCAAGCCAGAACCTCAGGCAGCAGGATCGTGTGTCTTCCTGCATGTCTTGGGAAGGGGGTTTTGTCAGTCCTCAAGATCTTTTTCAACCTTCAGTCTCCACTTCCCCCTTCCCTTCCTCTGTCCTCTGTTCTGCCATGTAAAAAGGCTGTGAGGTGCAAGGCTTCTTCAAGCCACATCTCCCACATTCAGGCTTTTGTGAGGCATGAGGAGCTGCTTTCCTTTTTCTAAATCATGACTGCATTTTCATTTTAGAGGCTGGCATCCTCTAGTCCTCCAAGCATCTTGACATCTACAGTTATCCTCAGCAGTCACTTCCAGTTCTCCACACAGGGCCTTGTTTACACACCCACTTTCTCAGTTATGGACCAAACCGCTGCTGCTATCCTGCTTGCTGTATACCATGCTGTGAACTCAGCAGTGTAAACAATCAAAGAGGGTGTGGCCAACGAGAGGGTTGCTGGCAGGGCGGGCCTGGAAGCCTGCAGGGCTGGCACACAGTTGACCTTTTTTCCTGCTGTCTGTCCTTGTCCTGCTCCCATTAGTCTTTATACAAAATGATCCTGCTCGCCCCTGCCTGCAGCATCATGAGAAATCTCCGGCTGCTGGGTACCCTGTCTGACCTTCTAAAGCTCTAGAACGATTCCCGGTGCTCACGGGGCAGCTCACAGCCTGTATAGCCTCATCCTTCCCCAGAATGGACAATCAGCCACATGCTCAGCACTGCCACTGGGCCAGCCTTGCTGGGCTTCTCTGTGGAACAGAATCACCACCCACCTGGCTGGTTCCCTCAGAGCCCCCAGATACAGTACGCTTGGCCCAGAGTCCGACATTGGACCTAAGATTCCTGAGGTTTGGATTCCTCAGTTCTTAAAAAAAAAAGATAAAAGAAAAGACACCATTGCCTGCCTGAACTGTAGCGATGAAATGTTAGTGAAATGGTTCTTCTCTATTTCTTCCTCTCAAAACGCAAATGTGCCTCTGTAACTAGGACTGTTTCTCCACAGGAATGCTGGGAGGGAGCAGAATGGGGAGACAGGCCTATTAGACAGTAGGACGGATGGAGTAGGGGCAGGATTATGAAGAGGCCACTCACTTTCACCTACAGGGCAGTGACTTCTAAGCCCGCAGCCTTAACTAGAAAGCAGTGAAAATACTAATAATAAAAAAAAAACCCTGCTGCCCAGCATGGTTATCGGGATGAAGGATAATGGTAGCCCCAAGGTGCCTAGCCCAGCACTTACAAGTGGTAGGGGTTCAGCAAGGAAAATGTCTTAAATCATTTCTGAACAAGCTGATCAAGTCCCAGAATGGGGTGCAGTTTTTTTCTGGCTCCACAGTCTGAAAAAAAAAAGCAGGGAGATCTTGCTGGCCCTGGTTGGCCTGCTCTGGGAATGTTTCCAGCTAGCTCACTGGAGTCCCATAGCACCATCTAGTGTTCCAAAGTGGAAAGGCTCTCCCTCTCCACCCTGCCTACCTCATTCCTTCCTTCCAAGCACTGCTTGGACCTTCTTTGCCTAGAGGATCTCAAGGCTTTGGAGTAGCACAGATCAGCTAAGGTGCCTAGGAAATAAGTAACACAGGTTCCCATCTATGTTCGTTCAGTAACACAGACAGACACAATCTTTACACACCCTTTTTTATTGAGGAGAGAAAGCTTTAGCGTACAGAACAATTTATCTTCACAACACAATAAATACAACAGTAACAATTATGACAGTAACATATTTGTTTCTCCCAAGTTTCTGGGTGTCCTTGGGATACCCTTATACCCTGCATGCATACCCCCACCCCCACCCCCACCCCGACCCACCCCCAACCCAAGGAGGCACTCAAAGCTTCGGACAGCTCCTGTAGCTGTCACATCACAAAATATTGAAGTTCTGGGAAAGAAGGGAAAAGGTCAAAGGAAATCCAAGCCCCCTTTGCCCCCAGAGGCCTACAAACCAGTTTACTGCTCAAGCGTGCTCTCCCTGGCTGAGGCTACACGTGTTCAGAGTAAGAAGCACCACAGCATCAGGCAAGGCCTATGCCACGGAGGTCTGTGGAATGTGAGGTACAGGACGCCTGCGCTTTGCACTTCTCCACAAGCACACAGACAGCATGACCGGCATGTTGCCATCAGCAGATAGGCTCCATAGCTTCAAATAACGGTGTTTTCCCTTCTGGAACTCTCGCCTGAGGAAAGAAGCTGGAAAACAACACAGAATAAAGTCTTCATGTGGCTCCTTACCCCTGCCCTCATAGGAATGCGGAAGCCAAACCCCTGGAATGTCTAACAGCTCAGGAGGGTGAAATGATTCCACACCACACAGGTGACAGCCATTTCAGGGCTGCCACTGGTCCTCCAGCAAGATGACCTCAGCTTTAGAAAGAAATGAGCAAATGCTGCTTCTGTGTGGTGGGATTCTGCATGTTTGCAAGGGGAATATTTTGCCCTTAATGCGTTCTCTGCTTCCCAAATTTGCCATAATGACTATATGTTAACTCTTCTCTTGTGGGGAACTATTGTAAAGGTAGCAACAAGTTATAGGAACCGATTCCACTGATATTCAGGCAAAGAAACAAAAAGCAATAAGCCAAAAGGTGCCTTACCTCTTGCTGATGAACAGAGATCTCACCCTAAACCAGTCTGAGGACTAGGTCTGTCTAGGACTCCTCTTCCTCAGGTTCCTTCCTCTGGTCTTAGGTTCAAATTCTAGGGCCAGGTTCTCATCTTCAGACTCCAGTGAGGAACATACTCCATTTGCTGTTTTCCTGCTGGCCACAGACCCTGGGGCTACACGTGCCCAGCTGCTGAGCACTGTGCAGCAAGTTCAGTGTCCAGGGTCAAGCTGGGCCAGCAGTGAATTGGGCTGCCATTTTGTGGTCAGAACTGATATAGTACATGTGTAGTTTCACTGCAGTGGCAGTATTTTGTGGACCCAAACTGGACAGCAGGTCTCTTTTTAAGGGCACCTGAATTTGTGCCCAAGAAGTCCCTGGAGTATATAGCAGGCAGTCACCCCTTAAGCCATGCTGGCAACAGGCCTGGGAGGGATTGACCCTCGTGTTAGGGCGGCGGAGGTGTTGGGCAGCAGTGCTTCATGGATGCAGTCTCTGGAGAGCTGGCCCTGTTTTCTTCTTTCAGAAATGAGTCAGAGGGGCTTAAAGAGCAGGCCAGCAAGGCCACCTCCACCACCTTGAGGATACAGTCTCCTCAGAGGCCTTTGGCTGCAGGCCAAAGCCTAGCTGGGCAAAAAGGGCCCTGTTCACTCCTTAGGATGTCAAACTGAGTTGTGGTGCTGCTGCCACCTCTGCCTCTGCCTACCCTTAATGCTAGTCCTTTAAGGGAAAGGCGGCCAAAGCCTGCTCAAGTGTCCTGGTGCAGGAGTCTGAGGGAAGGTAAATCCAGGACTCAAAGTCTGCCACCATCAGCCAAAGAGACTAAATCTTAGTCAAGGTGTCCATTGCACACGTGACTTTGCATATTCTCACAGTGCTAGGTGTAGGTTCCTCTTTCGGGCCCTTCTGCTGGAAATATGGCAAGTATGTATTTCTTGGTGCCATTCTGCTCATTGTCCAGTAAGTGGTCTCAGTGACATCAAGAGTTTCGTGTAGCCTGTCCTTCAGATCACTGGGGCTGATCACTGAGGCATTGGGTGAAGTCCTGTTGGGCCAGTCAGGATAAAACCACAGGACACAGGGCAAAGAAACACAGGAGAGGCAACGATTGGGGACGACTAGAGGAGAAGACACAGGTGACCAGTGCATTTACACGAACAGGCCCAGAAACTCGCTCTCCATCTTAGGTGAGGACCGAGCAGAGTACCTGACAAGAGAATAGTGAGTATTGACTGACCTCTCCTTCCCTAGATGGCCTTGGTTGGGCACATTTCACTCTCTGGTTGTAGTTGCAAAACAGTCTGGAATTCTGCAGGTCTTCTTTGAGTTCTTCAGGTCTGGAACTTTCTTAAAGACTGGTCAGTAGATGGGGCAGACACAGCAGCAATAGCGAGGGCAAGGGATGCAGTAGAAGGGTGTGTTCCCCGTGACCGAGTCACCCCAGCATTCACACTCGAATTCGGCCTTGAGCTCGGTGCCCCCCCTGTCTAGGGGTGAGGCAGAAGAGCACTGAGGGCCGTCTTCGCATTTGGCGTTGCCCCAAGCGAGCTGCGTGGCGAATCAGTGGTGGTGAACTGTAGAAGGGAGCATTGGTATCTGGAAGACCCTCCAGAAGTGGGACTCGGTTTCTCTGTCTGCTAGAATGTATCGGAGGTGGTACGCCTAGGTAATTCTCAGCATGGTAGCCTATCCCAGAGCTAATGGTCTGGGTTGAAGTGTCAACAAGGACAGGCTCTTCCATCTCTATCAGCTCTCCATGTAGGCCATGATGGTGGGCAGCAAGTGCATGCATGTGTACATGCATGTAGTCGTGCACATACACATGCTGAATCTCTTCCCTCCCTTGCTCGTCTTCTGACTCCAGGACCCTAACCACAATTTCATCATCCTCCTCATACTTATTTTCATCACCATCCTCATTCTTCCTCATCTCCTCTTCCTCCTTGTCTTCCTCCTCCTCCTCCTCCTCCTCTTCTTCCTCCTCCTCCTCCTCATCTTCATCCTCATACTCATCTTCCTCATACTCATCTTCCTCATCCTCCATCTCTTCTTCCTCCTTCCTCATCTCCTCCTCCTCCCTCAGCTCTTGTGAGAAAACATTCATGTGCTTCCTCTGGTCCATCACATAAAGCCTGTGCCCGCCTGCCTCTTCACCCTCATCCTCAGTATAGCACTCCACACCTTCATTGTCATCCTCATTAGGAACTGGAACAAAATGGTAGACGCTATTTTGAACTTCAGGGAGTGGGGCTGCCTTGGGGACACGCACTTTCCTTTCTATCTCCGCACACTCAAGAATCAGCTCATCCAGGTCTGCCATTTCAGTTGACCATAAGAGTTCCTTTCGGAAAAACTCTGACAAGCCTTTGAGGAATTGCTTTTGGAGGCGACAGTCATCCCAAGACAAGAACTGGGCCAAGAATTGAAAAGCATCTGCATAGCTGCCCAGGGTACAATCTCCCTGCTTGAGCTTACGGATGGCCTTTTTAGCCACGCGTGAGGGGATAGGGCCACAGAATTCCTTACGGATTTCATCCAGGAAGCGCGGGAAGTTGGCATGCAAGGAGCTTCCTTCCTGAGTGACTGAGATAGCCCAGTCTCTCGCTTCCCCTGTGAAAAAAGAAATCAGAAAGGCCACCCGTTCCGCGCCCCCAGGGAAGTGATCCTCGTGATTGGCTATGAAAGTCTCTAGCTGCATCAGAAATTCAGCCAGGTAGACTGGGTCGCCTGAAAATGGTTCTATGTCTGGCCGCTCCAGCGGTGGCAGAAGGGCCTGCAGGGGTGGCTCCTTTGAGTGCAGCTCCGACTGGGACAGGCTGGGTGACAGAGGAGGGTCAGTGGACCCGTCGGGGTTGGTATAGTCCTGGACCACGTTAATCAAAAGATCATCTGAGACATACTCGGGATCTGTGCGAGGAGGAGGCCAGCACAGGAACGGCACCTCCTCCTCCTCCTCCTCCTCCTCCTCCTCCTCCTCCTCCTCCTCCTCCTCGGGAGTGGGATCGGTCTCATTGATCAGTAACTCAAAGTTCTCCTCGGCAAGGACGGGCACTATGGGCATCGGCCAGCGGATGTAGCTCGAGACATTGCCCCGCAAGGAATTAACCTCAGCCAAGGCTCTTCCGAGCTGCAGGCCCAGATGGGCATTCTCTCCTCGAAGGGCATTTAACTCCTCTCGCAGGGCCACATTCGCCAAGCGGAGGCTATTGAGATTTCCCGCCGCCTCTGACATCGTGACTAGTTCCTGGGGCTTTGAGTGTCCCGCAGCTGGGGGCAGGGACTAAGAGGGACTGAGGGAGGAGGCAGAAATGAGGAGGTGGGCGCGGGAGACAACCGAAGTGCGGCGACGGGGCGCGAGCGAGCCCGGGCCACACCCACAGGGGCTCGGTCCGGGACGCGTTACCTCTCAGCTGGGGTCAGAGAGGCCAGGCAGCGGAGCGGGACCTGGAGGCTGCAGGCGCAGGGCACAGACGAGATGCTGGCAGCTGTGGCGTGGACTGAAGCAGGCAAGCAGGAGGGAACGGACTGCGGCAGGATCTGTCGAGGAAAAATCTTGCGGACAGCGATCCCTCGCCTTTTAAGCACAGCCACGCGCGCCCCCCGCAGGGGCGGGCCTTCGGGAACTGAGGGAGCCCACTGGCTCCCGCGGCTGCGCTCTCACTCACTCTCTCCTTCCCTAGCTGCAGCTAACTCGGGTCGGGAAAATGCGACAGCGACTGCCCACTCGAGGTCGTCATGGCGACAGCCAGTGAACGTGTTCCTCTCCTCGGGCAGGCCCCCGAGTGTAGAGGAACTGCTTCGCGAGGCGCAGCTCAATCTCCAGAGCCTGTTGCAAGGTACTGCGAGGGAGGGGGGCTGCCTAAAGGCGTCTGCGCAGCAAGAGGGGGGGCAAAGAAGAACCGGGGAGCATCAAAAGAAGGAAAACAGTTCCAAAGCACTCTCTTTTCACCTTCCAGACTGACAATGCTAAGACTCTGTTTCCAGAGCTGTTGCTCTCGCCCTCCCTTTTTGATTCAGTGGTCCATAAGGGGAAAGGATGCAGGCTGAGGCAGGCCAATGGGTCTAGCAATTCACAGAGAAGGCAATGGGAGCCTCCCTCAATGGAGACCCATATTCCTTCCCTCCAGCCCCCCTGCTGTCTTATCTCCCATGCCTTGGAATTCCGGCATCAGAAAACAAAGGGGACATGTTTGGGTCTCCTAACCCAGACTCTACACACTGTTCCTGTAATAACCTCCCAATTACAATGAGCTTCTCCGTAGACATTACATCCCCAAGCTGGCAGTGTAGCTCAGTGGTAACATGTACAAAGCCCAATATTCTATGTCCAGCACCACAAAAAAGCCATCTCTTGCTACCCTTGAGTTTCTCTTACTACTCTTGAGTTGCTCAGGAACACTGGACACAGAGCTGGATCCCCCAAGAGGTGTCTAATGAATACTAGATGTACAAAAGGTCTTACCAGTTCTTATTTCTCCATAGCAGCAAATGTTAACTCCAGTGCAGAATAGAAAGCACCTGATAAGCCTCCCAACTGGGCTGCTGCTGAAACCCCTAACTCTGCAAAGGGCAGTGGTGATGTTGGAGAAGCAAGATGCTGAGGGATACTCATGAGCCCTGTGTCCAGCAAGGAAGGGCTACTGGGCGAGGTAGGGGTGGGGTGAGGGTGCTGTTATTGCCATAGGCAAAATTAGGACCAGGGAGCAGAAACTCAGAGAGAACACATTGCACCTCCAAAGAACAGCTTCTGACATGCCCAGTAGCCACAGTCCAAAGAAAGGGGTGTTCGTCAGTTGTCTGTCCTGAGACTGAAAAGGCACCTGGAAGGGCTGCTGAAGAATGTGGGAGCACAGAGTGGGGACATTGATGCAAAGAATCAGCCATGAGAGCAAGGCCCAGCACCAGGTTCGGAGTCTCTTCAAAGCCTTGAATGTTTGTTCTGAGCTCTCGCTGTCTGCATTTCATCTAAGCCATTGCTTTGGTCAACCCTACTCAAATCTTACACGTACTTATTTCCTCACGTTGCTCTTGAACTTCGCTGTGGTCTGTGCCACCCCCTTCAGTTTCCTAACTTTTAGCCTCCCTAGACCTGATCCCATCCACAGTGAAACCAGACCAACTATGAGTTCTTGAGGCCAGTATGGTGGCACAAACCTGTAATGCCAGCACTCAAGAGTCTGAGACAGGAGGGTCTTGAGTTCTGAGGCCCCCCTGGGCTACGTGCAAGACTTTGTGTCACAGAAAACAAAGAAAATGTAAAGTTCTTGCCATCCAAGACAGAGTTCCAGACTGGACTTCTCAGTGTGGGTCTCTTCTGGTTTCATGCACATTGTTCCTTGGTAGCACTGCACAGCCCCCCGAAGAGCTGCAGAGCCTCAGAAAATGGAACTATTAGCAAAGGGTGTCTACATCCTGAGTGTTGGCTCGTGGTTGAGTGCCTAAGGTGGGGGCCACTAAGAGAGGGCATGGTCCACAAAGCAACACAGCTTGGATTTACTGCCTTTCTGTCCTCCTCTGCCCTCATGGTCCTGGGAACCAAGCACTTTCCATTTCTGAAGCCAGTGACCAGGAAATAGCTCAAAGAAGCAATCAGGCTGGGCAGCTTAGTGCCTGGCTCGTTGTCCTCACCAAGCCTGGCACTTGGCTGAGGCCCCCTAGAGTGTGTCTCTACTATGCTGTTTTTCAGAAGAATATGAGGAACAGTACTCAGAGGCCAGACTTCTGGGGCAGACCTTCCGCTCTTCTGATGAGGCTCCTAAGCCTACTCCCAGCCCAAGGCCCCAGTCTGCCAAGCGCCTGGAGTTTGTATTGATGGTGAGTTGCCTCTTCCCCAACTTGGGAGAGCCAGCGTGCACCCACCGACAGGGGATCTTCAACTGCTTATGCGATTCCCTGGAAGCTGCTACTCATCACTGCTCACTAGCAGGGCTACCATGAGGTCCCACTGGGAAGGGCCCTGCACAGCAGGTGCCTAGTCAGGGAGCCTGTACATGCTTTTCTGCCTTCAAGAGGACACCTCCAACCATTCTGCCTAAGCAGCCATCCTATGGGCACCAGCTCCTCTCCAATAAGAAGCACACCTTTTCCATCACCCTCTCTCCCAACAGCCTGCAAAACGGCAGCTGAGCAAGGATGAGACCACGACCCAGGGTGTGAGGGCCCCCGAGGCCTGCCTGAGCCTGTCTACCGTCGACAAGCAAACTGCATGGAATGGCCCCTTCCCTCTACCCATCCTACAGGAGAAGCGCTGGCTTCAGCCCTGCTCCACGCAATCTGACCTTGTGCCCATCAACATCTCTGGTAGAGTTGCTTAGCATCACCTGCTTGCTTCCCTTCATGCAAAAGGCCCATCCTCTCCAAATGCACTGGGTGCTGGGGAGGGAGGGCCACTCTATCTGCTACTGGCTCACCCTGCACTGTCCAGGTCTTGACTCCCCAGGGAGTGGAGGCTTGCAGAAGAGGGGACAATGACTGCTCTTCCCTCCCTCTCTATCTGCCCTGCCACTACAACTGATACACTGTAATAACAAACAAGTTTCTTTGCACAATGTGCCAAAAGTTTTCCGGAGGAGTTTGGGTATTCTTTTGAGGTTAAGTGGAAACGAAGTTTGTGAATTTTTGTTTGATTCAGGTAAAGATAATGTTAGAAACCCAGAGCTGGGTTTGGAATATACGGATAGTTGACAGAAGGAGTGAGGGACCCAAGCACTGTGGTTTAACTGTAGTGTAACAAAGGAAGGGGACACAAAGGGAAAAGACAGAAAAACCGAAAGGGGGCCCACGATGACCTTGAGAGCAGGGGGGGGGATATCCATCCTAGTTTCGTTTCTCATTGCTGTGATGAGGCACCCTGACAAAAGCAACTTAAGGGAAAAAGAGTCTACATGGGTTCACGGCTCACCAAAGGCAGCAGGAACATGAAAGCAGCTAGTCACATTGTGTCCACAGGCAAGAAGCAGAAGACAATGGCTGCTTACTGCTGCCCAGTTCCCTTTCTCTATCTACAGGGTTCAGGATTCCCTGCCCAAGGAATGGTATCATCCACAGTTAAGTTGGGTCTTCTCATATCAGTTAATCAAGTTAATCCCCACATTCATACCAGAGGCACATCTCCAGGTGACTCTAGGTTCTATCAAGTTGACAGCACTATCACAGTTTCCAAGTTGGTATTCACATTTCCACTCCAGTGACTGTAAGGAAAAGGGCCAGTTGTATCAGGAAACATGGCAGAGGCCTGATGAAAACAAGACCTCAATAATCTGAAAGGACCAGAGGAGGCCTGGAAGCTAGCACGGGCCCTGCTGTGTTGGAAAAGGCTGGCGAAGGCAATGAGGACAGCTCTGTCTCTGTGTGACCATGCTCCCTGGGACCACGTGGGTTCATCCACCAGGCCTAGAGTCATCTTGAGAAAGAGAGGCAGGAAGTAGATCTTGGGGCCTAGGAAATTTTGCCAAGGGAAATAGAACAGTGATGGGAGCCTCACAAAGCGTCACTGATGTGCTCTGACTAAAATGGCTATCTCACTTTCAGGCTCGTCTTGAGTTTCTCCTGTGGAGCCATTTGCTGGGGTTGCAGTGGTGTGACTGGCGGGGAGGGGTTCCTGCTCAACCAGCCACCAAGCTAGAGACAGGGAGAGGAATTGCCTGTTTAGCCCCATGGACCTCCTCACCCTGACTTTGCCCCCCAACAAATTCCCGGAACTAAAAGCTGACCCAGCACTTTAAGAGCATTAGATAGGGCTCAGGCAACACAAACTGCCAATTTTGGTAATGTGGCCAGGTGGCTGTAGGACAGACTATTGGGCTGCTTCCTAAATGTTGGGGTCAGTAGGACATCTTGGAGACCTGGTCCCTGTGAAGTCAATCTAGGCATGATGGCACATACTTGTAATCACAGCACTCTGGAGGCAGAGGCAGGGTGATGAGGGCAAGTCTAGCCTGGATAATCAAATGAGTCCTTCGCTCACAAAAGCAACACCCACTACAGAGTGCATCTCAGTGGTAGAGTGTTTACCTTGAATATAGAAGGCCATAGATTCTGTCCCCACCACCACAGGAGAAACAATAATCACAATCAAATAACATCTAGCCCCAGCCCATCACTCCACAAGCAGTGATGTTCACCCCTGGCCTAGCTATGCCTCTGAAAAACCATCTAAGGATACCTAGGTAATGCTTCTACCTAGGCCCTCCTCCCAGAAAGTTGAATGTTCTGGAGTTCAGATTGTGGAGTTTCAAAAGCTACCCTGTTTATTTCAGTATGGAGCCAGAGCTGAAAAATACTGCCCAGTGCATCTAAAAAGTGCTGATGAGCTGGGTGTAGCCTGTAACACACCAAGTTGGGAGGGATGGGGAAGAAGAGCTACCTTCCTGGATGCTGCTATTCATGTTCATTGCTACTGCCGTCATCCCTTCTCTCTACCTCAGGCCAGTTTCCACTGTACTTTAAACAGAAACCAGGATGCACCCAAGTGTCTTTATTTTGGCTACAGGGCAGCAGTTTGATAGACATGCAAGTTTTCGACACTCGTTGTTTAACACAGAGACAGCCGTGAACCCCAAGTCCACCCTGAGGCGGAGGCGGACCATTATTGGATTCTCTAACTTTTCTCAGCGAGACCCAGGTGACCCCAATACAGTTGATTCCCTCAAACCCTTTCCCCATCTCCCACTATTCCTGTCATGCAAGTGCCATTGTGGTAGTAGGGAACTAGAATGATTCTGGGTAGAGGGACTATGAATATCTATCCAATGTGGTGATTAATGTTAACCAAGGGTCCTTGGCAAGACTAGCAATTGAGTATGGAGAGAAGGTATCTTAGGCTAATAAATCCACTACATTATTGTCTTCCATTACAAATGTAATGTAAGTTAGATATGAAGTACACACCTTTAATCCCAGCACTCAGTAACAGAGGCAGGAGGATTGTCTCCAGTTTAAGGCTAGCTTGGTCTCCATGAGTTCTAGACCAGCAAAAGACTGCATAATGAAGTCTTGTCTAAAAACCAAAAAAGTAATGTTACCATGTATGTCAAATTTATGTAAATAGATAAAAGTGGGCAATCATCCCCCAAATAGTTGTCTTGTATTGACCCAATACAGTCACTGTGGTAACTAATGATATTTATGTAGTCTGCCTGCCTTGTGTCTGGGTTATAGTCAATACTCAACAAATGCAGGCTATTATGAATTATCATGTCAGTAAACTAGTGATAATACTAATGTTATAATGGTCATAGCTCTGGATTTGAGAAAACTTGTGGAGATTGGAACATCTGAATGGTATTGTCACATCTGTGAGTTATCCTAAGTCTTTTATGTTCAAAGGCAAAAGGTGGCAGATACCAGAAATACGGCAATCTGGCCAAGTCCAGGTTCCCTGCTGGGGCTGTGAGCCACACGGTGCTGTGGTCTTTAGTCGGTTTAGAAACTTGTGCTCTTGCCTCAGGACTGATGAACCCTGAGGTCTGCTGCTTTCATGAACCTAGGGAGAAAGGTAGTCCCATGTGATACTTGTACTCTGAAGAGAGACATCAAAGCTGCAAAGTCTTTGGCAGCCATCTGGCCAATTGAAGGGCAACCTGTGACTCACTGTGTGGTGATGGGCAAGATCCCAACTTCCCCCAGCATCCTCATCTGTGAAAAGGAAGAACCAAGGAATTCTGACAAAGCTGTTGGCAAATGCTGCTTGGCACAAAGTTGATGTTCTTGTCATAAAACAGCTGATGGGGGATCGCTTGCTGTACCAGTAACATGTGTTTTCCATCTCCAGGTCACAGCAACAGCCCAGCAGGCAGCCTGGCCTGCTCTGCCACCTCAGACATCAGGCCTGGCCACTCGGTTCCACAGGTGGTTCAGGGAAGAGTTGCTATTGGGCAAGAAGCTCGGTTCCCAAGTCTCACCTCGCCAGGACTGAGACACTCTTCTAGTGATCCTGCAGACCCTCACCAGGCACGCAGTGGCCCAGACCCTCCTGGCATGGAGAGCATGGCAATGGTGTACAGTGTCCCCAGTTCTTGCAATGGACCAACAGAGTCAACATTCTCTGCTTCCTGGAAGGGAGATGCTTTCACGTACATGACCCCAAGTGCCAGCAGCCAGGGCAATCAAGCCAGTGAAAATGGAAAGAACCCTTCCTCTGGGAATTCTTGGGTCTCTCTGAACACACTCCCTCCTCTGGTCCCTAAGGAGGCGGCTACCCTCTTTGTCACTCGGGATAACCCAGCAGGATGCACTGGGCTACCCAGCTACTCTGAGCACCCCACTCAACGAAGACAAATACCAGAAAGACCTCCCAAGATTGGCCTTCTGGCCCGTGGTACCTCAAGACTGGAAACAGGCCCGGGCGGAACCAACAGATTCCGGGAGCGGTCACTGTCTGTGCCCACAGACTCGGGTGTCACCTCAGTGGACTATGATGAAGAACAGAAGGCTAGGGAGGCCTGCATCCTGCCTTATACCAGTACAAGCTCTGAAGGCAGTAACAGTACTGACAACATTGCAGCCCTCAGCACTGAGCAGGAGGCGCGGTACAGAAGGCAAAGATCCAAAAGTATTTCACTCAAGAAGGCCAAGAAGAAGCCCTCTCCACCCATGCGAAGTGTCTCACTAGTCAAAGATGAGCCAGTGCTGCCATCAGAAGGTGAATTGGCACTGCCCAAGGACCAGAGGCCCAGGAGCCTTTGCCTCTCCTTGGAACACCAAGGGCACCATTCATCTCACCCAGATGCTCAAGGTCACCCAGCTGTGCCAACTCTCAAAGATCCAGAAGGCACACAGTTCTCTCACCACTGGTATCTTAGTGACTGGAAGTCTGGTGACACCTACCAATCTCTGTCTAGCTCCAGCACTGCCACCGGCACCACAGTCATTGAGTGCACTCAAGTTCAGGGAAGCTCAGAGTCTCTGGCCTCCCCTTCCACCTCCAGAGCGACAACACCCTCCCAGCTCTCTATTGAGGTGGAAGCCAGGGAAGTAACCTCCCCTGGAAGGCCCACTGGACTGATGTCCCCTTCCAGTGGCTACTCCAGCCAGTCAGAGACACCCACACCCACTGTCTCCATGTCCTTGACTCTGGGCCACTTACCCCCTCCAAGCACCAGTGTCAGAGTGCGTCCAGTGGTACCAGAAAGGAAGTCATCACTGCCCCCAACATCACCGATGGAGAAAATCTGCAAGTCACGGTTATCATTTGACCTACCACTAACCTCTTCAACCACCCTGGATCTGTCGGGGATGAGTATCTCCATCCGCAGCAAAACCAAGGTTAGCCGCCATCACTCTGATACCAATTTTGGAGCCAAACTGGCACAGAAAACTAGTCCAAACCAGCCAATCATGCCCATGGTTACTCAGTCTGACCTCCGTTCTGTTCGCCTAAGGTCAGTTAGCAAGTCTGAGCCAGAAGATGACATTGAGAGCCCAGATTACACCGAGGAACCTGGAACAGAAGAAGTCTTCACCTTGCCAGAGAGAAAAGTGAAGCCTCCCATCGCTGAGAAACCTCCACTGGCCCGAAGGCCTCCAAGTTTAGTTCACAGGCCGCCCTCTCTCACTGGGGAGTATCCACTAACTTCTCCTACTATGGCTATGACACCCAGGAGCTCCATTCCACACATGAAGCAGCTCCCCCAAGACAGCTACACGGTGTTGCGGAAACCAAAGTCACCCAGCTTCCCCAGTGGCAGGAGCCCTGGGGAGTCAACAACACCCTCCACCCTTGTCTTCACACCTCCTGCCAGTTCCTCTGGTGCTTTCTTCTCAGGAACACAGCAACCTCCCCAGGCCAGTGTAGAAGACGGGGGCCCCAAGGTGAGAGCCCTGCCTGAAAGAATCAGCCTCCAGAGCCAGGAAGAAGCCGAGAAAAAGACGAGCAAGATTCCACCTCCAGTACCAAAAAAGCCCAGTGTGCTCTACCTGCCTCTCGCCTCCCCTGTAGCTCAAATGGATGCCTGTGCGGCAGAACCACGGCTGCCTTTCAGCCCCATCATCACCCTGGAGGAAGATTCCAAGTGTCCCTCCACTGGTGATGACTTGAAGTCACCTGGTAAAAGGGTGACTTCGGCTCTTCATGTTGACAGTGAAAAGGAGGCCATCTCTCCAGGTTAGTAAACTTGGCTTTTCCCTTCTGTTGCAAGAGAGAGGGATGTGAGTGAGACTGGAGTTCCAAGACAGAGCCCCAGTATGACCAAATCTGTAGGGAGCACAACCAGAGAGCTTGGGTTAACTATGAAAAGGAACTGCGGCTTAGCCTTACTGTTCAGGAGATCAGGATTGACCCAGGCTAAGCCTGGACAATCTACCCCCTGGCACAGGCACTATGATAACAAAATCAAACAAAGCCTTAGCACACTGGGACTTCTTGACCTCGTCTACCCAGCCAGGCATGCAGCCCTTGCCCCGGGAGCCCCGCTCACCAGACAATGGTTTTCATTAGCCACACTAAATTTAGACTAGACTGATGCACAGACTCAGTACTCTATAAGACCAAGTTCAAATGTCCTGGAAGGCTCACGGGATTCTGAAATGATGTGCTGTGTCACCACCTGTACCCTTTTCCAGTTTCTTCCAGAAGAAAGGGCACAGTCTTCCTTGGATGGTTTGATTCTAACTCTCCCTGAACTTGTAAGACTAGACAAGTTAATTATTCTCCTTTTTGGTTGATATTGTTTCTGTGGCTTTTTGATTTAATTGTAAGATACATACAACACTCATAGTTTAACCACTTCCGTATGTGTGGGGGGGCACAGGTTATGCTGAATGTCTTCTGCTATCACTCTTGGTCTTTTGAGACAGAGTTTCTTCCAGGACCCAGAGCTTATTTATTGGCTAGACTGGCTGGCGAGCAGGCCCTGGGCATCTACCTGTCTCCATGCCCTCAGATATGGATTACTATGGTTATAGGCATGCCCAACAGTATCCAGCTTTAACATGAGTGCTGTGGATCCGAACTCAGGTCTTCAGGCTTGTATGGAAGGTGCTTTGCCAACTGAGTCATTTTCCTGGCACCAACTCCTTTTTTGAGACAGTGTTTCACTGTTACTTAGGCTAGCCTGAAAGTCACAATTCTCCTACCTCAGCTCCCCACCCCCTTGGAACTGTAGATATGTGCCACCATCCCTGGCTTAATTTGAACCATCTTTAATCATGCAGTTCATTAGTGTTTAAGAACATTCATGTTGAGTAACTCATCTCCAGAATGCCTTTTATCTCAGGAAAATGAAGGTCTATACCCTTGAAACAACTCTCCCTTCCTTCCTCCTCTTTCTCTTCCCCTTTTCCTCCCCCCCCACTGAACACAGTTCTACTTTTCAGGTCTATGGATCTGACTGCTCTGCATGCTGAGTCGAGTCATAGATTTGGTGTCTTTTTTATGCCTTGTTTATTTTTATTAATGCCCTTAAGGCTCGACTGTGTTTCTCATCATTTTTGAACCCTAAATAGTAAACACCAAAATCTCATAATCTCTTTAAGCTGATCTAGACTTTCAGTATAAGTTAGTCACTGTGATGAAAGCTAGTGAGCTTGTCAAAGTCACAGGTTATTTTCAATATGCTCCCTTGGACTCCACAGGCTACCTCAGATTCAAGCATGTCCCACCCCGCCACCACACACACACACACACACACACACACACACACACACACACACACACACACACACACTGGGTAAGGATAATTGCTTTACCCTTCTCTCAGTATCTTGAGTTTTTAATTATGTATTTATAACAAGGAGGCTGGGCACATAGCTCAGTTCCAGAGAGCTTTTCTAGTGTGTGCAAGGCCCTGAGTTCCATCCCCAGCAGTAATTTTTTTTTTAGTAAATAAGAAAATGAGCATGTTCACATCACCTGTTTTAATGAAAAGTGTGCATGAAAACAGGGGTCTGGGCCAGTCTTCACCATGTGGGCATTGAAAGGCCTGGGGGTAAATCATTAACCTTCTGAACTTCATGTTCCTCCTAACAAAATGGAGACATCAAAAGTCCCGCCCTGCTGTCCATCCAGAGCTGCTTTGAACATTGAGGGGAATAACGAGATTGCATATGCTCTGTCCTAGCTATCATGCTCAAAGTCGTTCCTTTTGGTTCTTATGCCTAGGGAGGTCTGTAGAAGCAAGCACCGAAGAGAAAAGTTTAATCAGTGATAAAACAGCTGAATGGATCTCAGAGGAGGATGATGACGTGTTTGTAGCTTCTCGCACAACAGAAGATTTATTTACTGTGATACACAGGTCAGGATAATTTTCCTTCATTGTAATTGCGATTGCTTTCCCCTTTTCTACTTGAAGAAAAACTGCTGCCTTTGAGCAGCCATTGGAATTGCAACTGGAGATTAAGTCCTGGAACCTACATATGTGAGCACAGTCTGGGGCCTCACATCTCAAATTCACTGATATCTTTGGTTGAAGCGGAGGAGGGGAGGACCAGGTGCTGAGAGAGGCCCCTCGTTTCCTAGCAACTGCTTGGCCTATTGTGTCTCCATCTGCTCCCTCACAGCTCTATCTGCAGTCAGATACATTTAACCCTTCACAGAATTTCTTGTACCACAGAATTCTATTACAAGGTGATATGGAGCACTGGGCAGCATATGACAGCAGGGACTATGGCAGAGGGGGAACAGAAGTGTGCCTAGGGGCATAAGGCAGGGGCTTGGTAATGAGGTACCTGGATCTATGAGCCCAGTTACTGGAGCTGGAGCACCAGTTCAAACCAGTTCCACCGCTGGCTGTCTTGCTTCAGTCACTGAGCTACTGGACTTGATTCTTTATGTTTGTTCTTGATCTCAGAACTGACAAGGAGTGAATCTATAGCACAGGGCAAGTGACTCCAGTTGTGGGCATTCAAAAGCATGTGGGGAACTGAGGGCCCTACAAGGGACATGGGAGCTAAGAGGTGAGGAACAGCCCATCAGCACAAGGCTGTCACAATGCATGGTCTTGAGTACATCCCTGGCTGGCAGTCCTTGAAAGGTTTGCTAGCTGTCCGCTCCCTGAATTCCCTGAATTCACTCAGACCAGTCTTTCTCTCATTTAGGTCCAAAAGAAAGCTACTGGGCTGGAAAGAGCCTGGGGAGGGCTTCACAGGCAGCAGACCCACCTCCCATTCACCAGTGAAGAATACAGCTGATTCTCCCACCAGTGAGTCTGCTGCTGCCACGGGGCCAAGTGGCGGTGCCTGCCTAGATGCTGGCAGAAATGATGATTTCAAGGCCTTGCTCCAGAAGAAGGGAAGTAAGGCAACTCCTAGGACCCGCCCATCAGCGGCCGAACTGCTGAAGACCACTAACCCCCTGGCTCGAAGAATCATTGCACAGTTCTCAAAAGACTATGAAACCACTGACAACCCCAGTACCTAAGCCCTGCTTCTTACTTGCTAGACCTAAGTAGAGAAGGGGGAAGATAGAGGGCTTTAGAAAGGAACCAACCACAGGAATAACAAAAGAATCCACATGTTTTTGACGTTAACTCACACTCTGGACAGCAGAGAGGCCAACACAACACAACTGAGCTCACCAGGCACTCTGATAGGCTTCAGACTATCTGCGTTTCCATGTTTCCATGCTTGCCATGACTGAACATTGGGGTCCTTCTTATCATCTCCCAGCGCTGTGCATTAAGAAGGGACCCTCAGATTTGAGAGCCTGTATGCCACCTTTTCAATGTCCTAGCTGTTTTGTCCACTGGCTCCTGTCACTGAGAGGCACGGTGGGAGAACAGATTGAGGACTTCTAAGGACAGAGGGTGCCAATTCCATTGCTGATTATCTGCTCTCCTGGGCTGGCCTTGATGGCCCTATGTGAAGACACAGACGGACACTGAGGCCTCCTCAACCACAGTGACTTTCCTCCAGAGAGAGTTCTGCAGGAGACATGCACTAATCTCAGCGTGGGGTTGATTGGATGGCTTTTGTGGTGCAAAATATGAACGTGACTCCTCCAAAACTCCATGCCTTTTTCAGTTTGATTGTCTATGCGGAGATCAGGGTGATGAGTTTTAATAAACTTCTAGAACCCCCCCATTAGTTAGAAAAGATGGGACTGGGTGGCTTTGGCTGAACCACGCTCAGTAAACAAATGGGACATTTGTTCACTCACATCTAGTCAAGGTAACTTGCATGTGCGCCTTGATGTCTTTTGAATGTCTGTCAACATGGGTAGCCAGGATCTGTGCCCAACTCACGCTGCGTACTCCAAGAATTCTCATTTCCCTGGCATGTAACATTCATTACAGGAAGTAATTAGGTGACGGACTGGCATCTTCAGAGGCTCCAGGAGTAGAAAGTAAGTGTACCTTGCTCCACACCATTCGATTCAGAGTGTGCTTTTGTGCTTGTTTGGGTTTTGTTTAAAGGAAATCTGACTCTGTAGACTGAAAAAGATCTACACGAAATCAAAAAGACAGCCTGCTATGGCCCTTAATGCAAGAGGGCTACTTTTTGCCATTTAGGTACAGCAGTTGGACCAACTTTCAGCTAGCCATGGGGATAGGAGGAGGGAGAAGAGCGGCTAGGATAAAGAGAAAACTGAAAGAGTTCCAAACAATCACAGTTACCCCTTCCCTTCCAAAGCCAACAGGCACTGGCTATTCTTGTCAACCCAATGTTGTAAGCAGAGAAAGAATGCCTGATTTCCATACACCTGGTTTCTGAGGGGCTGGGGACAAGATAAGCAAAGCAATGAACACAGAACCTGCTGGCCAGTGTCGGAAAGTTCATTGACTTCTGGTCCCAAAGGGCCAATAGGAAATGAACCTGCAGAATGCTTTACAGAGAAAAAAAGGTTCCAGAGACAAGCAGATCTCCAATTTGATAGGTCCAATGAGAAGCAAACCGTTAGCTCAGCTGCCCACACTCCAGGAGAGCAAAATGGCTGAAAACTCCACTGGGTACTGAGACGACTCACGTCTGTGGCATAGAAGCCCTAAGCTGAGATCCTTGCTTGGGTTGGTCTAGCTCTGAATTCTAGACAAATGGGAAGATATCAAGCTCACCAACATTCTTGCAACTAGCTCTTCTCTCTCAGATTTAGAAAGAAGCCACTTGAATAATAGACAGTTTGGGGAAATCTAGTTACTTTGAAAGTATTTAAATCATTTCACATGAAAATCTTAACCAAATTTCATGAATTTTGCCTGAATTTAAACAAGAGTTTTAATCACTACACCCGGGAGCTGGAGGCAGGCAGATTTCTATGAGTTTGAGGTCAGCCTGATCTACGTAGCTAGTTCAGGCTGCCTAGGATACATAGTGAGACCCTGACTTCAGTCTTGACTGTGGTTTATACATAAGTATCACACCTGACCTAACTCAGAATTCCAAAAGACAGAGATATTTTCCTCTGTGGAGAAATGGGGGAGTGGAGTGTCCTTACTTCTGTGTATCAGATGCAAAAGGCCCCCTGCATCTGCTTCTCAGAACCATTGTGAATTGTTGAGCTCTGCGGTATGAGCATACGGGACTCTGTATAGGTAGGGCTTGCTACTTTTGCTGATTTTTTTTGGCAAGTGTCTTGTTTGTTCCTTCTCATGGGTTTTGCCTCTCCCCTCATCTTGCTACCTCCGGAGGATTCCCCAAAAGATTGCAAACCGAAGTTGTTTCAGTGACCTGAACGAACCCTTGCTTTCCTCTCTACAACTCTGTATGCCTGGAATGTCTAGAACATGTCCACATCACTAGGACCCCAGAAGCCCATAGCCCAAGAGGATTTGGGGCAGCAAGTTTGCAGTCAGAGAAAACACTTAGGGCTGGGAGTAGTCATTCTGTATTTCCAGTTTTTACAGGGAGTGGACCTAGTTCTAAACAACCAGATTGTTAAAAATAATGATGATGATGATAATAATAACAACCAGTCATTGATTAGTACAACACCAAGCATCTTTCTAATACTTAACCATAAACTCCAGTTTTCTCCCCTTAGTACAATGTGTGCTGCCCGTGAGGCTGGTGGAGATGGGTGAAACCCCTTTCAGGGAGGTCTCAGGACGTTGCTACCACTGCTGTGACATACAGCACACATAAGGAAAGAGAGTAATCTACAGATGGCATACACAGTAAGTTGGAGGGAAATAAAACTGGCCCCAGGTGGTCAGCCTGTGCTTCAAGCTGTTCCTATCCCTTGTTTCCCTCCAACTCTAGCCCTTAGTGACAAGTGGTTCTGTTACACTAGCTTCAGTATAGTCAGTGGTGGGGGAGACCCCCCAGAGGCAGTCAGTGGATATCTGCATGCTTCTCACTTGGTGGGTTTATATTTGTGGTTCACATGTGAGTGGCAGAGAGCAAGTTAGTCTTAGTACAAAGGTTGACTTTGCTTATTGGCCTGCCTGGGCCTCCCTCCTGGCTCCAACTTGTCTTTCAGTCCTAACACCCATGAACTGCACCCATACCAACAGCTCAACCACAAAGGAGTTAAGGCTACGGGCAGCCAGTTCATTGCCATTAGCCTCATGACCACAAAGGTTAATCTGGAAAAAATGACCCTGAATGTACAAATATGGGCAAGTCTTCAAGGTTCCCCCAACAAGCATTCTGCTTGGCATCTACTTTATCTAGACAACAGAGATCCAGCTGTTGTCTCTGTGTACCTGTCACTCTGAGCAGAGCTACCCATGCACCCGCTGCCCTCCTCACCTCTGAACCAGTCAGGAAAATGACTAGTTATCAGTCTCTGTTGCTCACCGCTTCTGCCCTCTATGTTCGCTAAGTCTGTGGTACAATGGTGAGCTTTTCCTTTGATATGATTTGCCAGGGCCAGGACTAGGGTGAGGCGATTGGGGAGACGCCCACTCTCAAGGCCCCTCCAGTGCCTTACCCTTGCCACGGCCCTGTGATTTGCACTCTGTAAAGTAGAGTCAGTTGTTCCTCCTCTGAGTGTAGTCCTGATTTGGGGGGCAGGTTTTGCGCCAAATGTTTTCTTGCTGTTTCTCCATTTGTTGCCAGAAGCCTTTGTATGCATTAAAGACTCTTCGGTATTATCACAAACATTTCAGCTGGCAAGTTAGCACCCGGTTCAGGAGGAGCACTGTGGCCAGAGGACTTCAACCGCAAGGTGGAGGTCTGCCCTGTGGACCTTCCTTCTGTTCTTTCTGCTCCTTTCTCCCTTGTAGACCTTGTGGCCCAGCACCGATTCTTCTCAGTGCCTCCTACTTTGTTCTCCTCCTAAGAAAAAACATGCTCTCAAGAAAGGGATGAATTCGTTGACTTGAGAGGCTTAATGCTACCTTTTTCCGAGGGTTGCTTGCATTTTAACAGGGGAACAGCCTTAAGCCAAAGGAATGAAGTTCTTGCAGAATGTGAGGCATCAACTAATTGTACAAGTTCCTTTTCACCATGGAAAAACCAGACTCCCTGACAGCTGACTCCAGAGTACAGAAAATATGGTTTTCTCCTGGAATCATTGTAGTTAGTAGCTGATGGTCAATTATCTAAATAACCCTGTTCTATATTACTACCAAGGGACTCTGAGAAAAAGCTACTTTATTAAAAGCCTCTGAGAAGGCCTAGATCAAGCATTCATATTGTACATTAACATGTTTGTGTAAATGGAATTAATACTACTTACCACTTAGGTGAAAGACACAAAGATTTAACAAGTTTGTGAAATGTGTTCTGTTTGTGCAACGTGACTCGGTCGAGTCCAATTCTTACTGATGTCAGTTGTCCAATATCAGTGGTGGTTAAATTGGGTGGAGGTGTAGTTACTAAGCACAGGCCTCCACTACCCCTCCTGCCATTTGTCTCTGTTGTGTGCTATGACTTCGGCTTGATGTGAGAATGAGACCTTACCTAAACCAGAGCCCCCAGTCCCTAATGCCTTTGCATGTATTTCAGCTATAAGTGACCAAGGGAGTAAGGATTTAAAAGAACAAGCGAGTAGGAAGGAGGTACAGAGCAGTGCCTTTGTCAAAGGTCATCGAACAGTATGATGACTTTAAAATGGCATGAAATAAGCCAAGTCAAATTATTTTACAATACTTTGAAACCGATTTATGGAGGACTATGGCTGTGAATGGTTTTTGAACACATGTCGGAGGCACTTTAATAAATTTAGCAAAAAGAATTTGCCTAATGAAGATTGTGTGAAATAAATATAGACCTTTGTTCAGTAAGGGCCCAAATCTAGGCCACTGGTTCTCAAAGTGTGGTCTTGGAACCAAGAGCAACATATGAGAGAGAAGGAGGGGGAGGAGAGAGAGAGAGAGAGAGAGAGAGAGAGAGAGAGAGAGAGAGAGAGAGAGAGAGAGAGAGAGAGAGAGAGAGAGAGAGAGAGAGAGAGAGAGAGAGAGAGAGAGAGAGAGAGAGAGAGCCACTCCAACAGGCCACCTTCTCTGGCAAAGATGTGTGTATCATGTTCTTGCTCAGCTACACACATCTGTGTGGTGTTAAGAAACTGCAAGATTGAATCAGGCCCGTCTGGCCTGGTTTGCATTTTTAAAACAGTTAACAACAGCAAACAGCAAAAAAGGGGTGGTGGTTGTGTTTGGTATTACCAGCCCTTAAAGGAATGTCCAGGGGGGCTCTTGGTTTTTGAGGTTTTGCCTAAGGGATGAAGTGTGGTATTTGATAGAATTGACCTCCCCCTACAGAGAAACAAACACCTGAACCAGAACAACCAGTTAACCCCTCTCAGCCTCTTTGTAATGCTAAGCTTTATAGAAATTTATTCCGTATGTGGTCTTGAGGTTTTCTATGTCCAGTTTTATAAAACGTTCTGCATGCAAACACAGCATTGTGGTCACTGTACCAATCACCTCAAAGCCATTCCTCCTCCATGTGTGTGCTGGTGAACAAATACCAACATGGATGTTTTGATGTTTCCTGAGCAATTGTAAATTCCATTTTCATTAATTTTTAAATGAGATATATTTACTCTGGCTAGCAGTTAAAATTTTATTCTTTTTATTATCTTTCATTGCTACTTTTTTCTACTGAATCCAAGGCTTACTTTGGGGGGGATTTCTTATTTCTAGATGTTGTATTTCTCTTATTTCTATATTTATCTATAATCACAGAGTGTAAGAGATGAAAGGGATCAACCTCCCTCGTTTCGTAGAGGAAATTAAGGCCCAGATGGGTCAAATGGCTTGCCAGAGGTCACACAATGAGTCTGAGGAGGGGCCCAGCCTCAGTTCTAGGTCTTCTGCCTCTGGGATGAATGTTTTGTCATTTAAAGCACTATATTTATGAAAGCCCCATGACTGGCTTCTACTTGTCCGACTCATTAATTTCCCAGGTATTTCAATGAAAAAAATCTATATGCTTTAAGAGAACATGTACAAGCGTTCTTCAGTTAATGAATCCAAAGAAAATCTGGTTTTAGTTTAGAAATTCATTTCCATGTTTGCTATCTGTGCCCTACTTTGTACAGTGGATGTTTTCCCTAAAAGCTATGTGGGGAAGTGAATTTATATAGAAGAAATTTCATTTTTTTTTAGTAGGAAAGCTTCCCTGTGTAAGGGAATCTTCTAGGGACTTTTTTTTTTGAGAAACAAAACAAAACAGAACAGAACCTTCCTGTCGCTCGTTCCTTAAGGTCTTTAATTACTTATTAGTGTGAATTTTTGTACTTGCTTTTATTTGAAGTAGGGCAAACCAGCGTTAGCTTTCCTAGAATTTCCTAGAACCTTACCTTCCTAATGTTTTTGGGAAATCTTCAGGCTGTTAGATGCTTATGAGCTATTCAATTGTATTCTAAAAACTTCACCTGACTTGACATTTTGCCAATCCCTGGGCTCAAATTCCACCTCTGTCTGATCAGATAATAACAGAGTTCCCGAATCAGTACTTATCTCTACATGTGCTCTCTTTTCCGGAACATTCTTTGCCCAGTATTCCTTAGTGTGTTCTTACTTAAGCCATCTCAGGCCTTTTTCCATAAATCAAGCAGACCTCACCGTCCTGTGGACTTTTGGAGACTACACCTTGAGAGCTAGGCTAGTCATACTGAGCAATATTTCCAGTTACTTCTATGTTCCCATTTCTCTTAGATCTCTTCTAACTTCCCTTTCCAGACTCAAAGGTTTCTCTCACCAGAGAGTGATGGGATTTTTCCCATCGTTTCAGGAAATCAATAAACTTTTCCTACTAAGGTCCTGGGAGTAATTGTTTTAGGGGTCACATATAGTATCTGTAGCAGATTCTTTTCTTGTGGCTGTTTGTTTATTCACTCATTTTACAACCCTCAGAACATATAAAAACCATTCTCAGCTCACAGGCCATGCAAGGCTGACCCCTGGTCCCCGCAACCCTCCCCATGTGAAAAGTGGGTGAAGGTCAGCATGATGGCTCAGCATGTAAAGGTGCCTGCCACCGAGCCTGATCTGTTTGAGTAAAACCCACATGGTAGGAGGAGAGAATCAACCCCTGCAAATTATCCTCTGACCTATGCACATGTGCATACACATGGGCTCACACATACAAACAGATAAATGTAATAATTTCAAAAGGTTTTTTTAAGTTAAGTCTTGGACCAGAGGCTGTTGCTAACCGCCTCACATATACTGTACCATTAGACCGGTCTGTCCACATTGGAACAGGAACAGGTGGAGGGCAGCTGCATATGGCAGTCTTCCCCCCCCACCCCGTATCCCTAATCATATTGATATTGAACACCTTACTTCCTTCTATAGATCTGTCCCATTCGTACTGCCGCTGTTTGTCCAAGACTAAAGTAAGCTGGTAGGAAGCTTTACTTAGTTCTTTTGTCCTGTCCTTGTTCTTCTTGTCTTGGGCCACCTGGTCATATCCCACACTGCTATCACCAGTTTAGGGTGCTGTCATTCAAAAGTCTTATAGTGCACTCCATAAGATTCCCGTTCAGTTTACGATTTCCTGGTTCCATGGGCTGGTTTTAAAACCCAGTATACACACACATACCTCTGTCCTAATGCAATTGAGACCTAGCACTAGACAGCATGGAACCCCAGTAAGAAACCAATGAGGTACAGGAAGTATCTATGCCACAGTGTCCCCTGCCTCCTGAACCCCCATTCCCTAGAGTGCTTAATTGCACCCTTCCAACCAATAGGCATCCAACACACTGTTTTCTTCACTTCTCGCTCTATCCTGCTCCCACCCCACCCCACCACACTTTGAGGAATTGGAGTTCAGATTCACAGTTCTCACACTTACTATACGTGAATTGGGGTATACCAGTGGTTGCAAAAGTCTGCACCTGGGTGAGTGTGTTTTCTACACCTGGCTGTGAATCACAGTGAGTGTGCACAGCACACAGTGCTCTCATTGGTCCTCTGGTCCAGGACCAAGTCTAACAAAGACTGGTCAAGGAAGGGAATGGCAGAGCGGGGACCCTGAGGCATCACTCTTGTCTTTTGAGAGCTTCTTTGCATTAGCTTGTGCTGGTTCCTCTCGCACGAAGCCACTTAAAGGAACTCCTCTATGTCATTCCTGGGTAGGCCAGCATCCACGGAGCCAGGGCTTTTATTGCATGTGGACTCAGTTACTAGGACAAAAGCTTTGTCTTTTAAAGCCCTTTAGCTTGATTTCAGTCATTTGAGCCCAGGGATCCATCCATCCATTTACTGAAATCTAAATTTTCAAACGTCAGAATCAAGTGATTTTCAAGGTTTCCTTTTTCAAAACTCCCATGGAATGGTTCATTTCTGCCTTCTCTTTAGGATTTCCAAAATTAGGAAGGGAAGGAAAGGAGGGTTGTGCCTTGGACCCAAGAGGAGCACAAGTAGTGTGCCAGCTCAGAAGCAGAGTGAGCTGCTGGTAGAGTTGTGTTAGGTTAGTGCCTCGGTCCGTGCTCCTGGGCCCACTATGCCCTGAAGACAAATGCCAGATGGGGATATACTGAGTGATGGCCTACACTGAAAGGCAGGGATAATGCCCACACCCAGGGATGGGACTATATCCTGGATTCCAATTCCAGAAGTAGCAGTAACTAAGAGAGATTGCAAACCTTGTCTTTGTAGGATTCCAACACAAACTAGAAGGGAGCCCTCTGTGGGGTGATGTTACAAAGGTGGTTTCTTGTCTTTCTTTTCCTTGGTTTTTTGTTTTGTTTTGTTTTCTTTCAAGATTCCTTACTGGCTTGCTACCAGCAATTGAACTGTATTCTTTATAGAGCTAGAGCTGTTTGTGTCTTCTTAAAATAAACTTTTTTGGTTAAAACCACTTTCTGCCTCCTTCCCTTGCTTTCACTGAACCAATGCCTGAATTCAGGAACACACCCAGTTCATGCTTTGGTTTTACTAGACACACAAATGGTACTGAACCAGCCTGGCTTACCTACTCACAACATGTCAACCATGAAGAAAACTTTTGTGAAACAGAATGTATTCATGAAGCAGAAAAGGGGGCCTAATGTCCTCAGATGTCAAGGAGCCACTCATTGGACATCTGGCATGAGTAGGGAGTCAACAGAAGTAGCCCTCAGTTCTGGAAAAGCCATTACCATCGTGAGCACACAGCCAAAGAGTTGTCTATAGCAGAGCTGGTAGAGACTAAACACTTGGCTTATCTTCATGGCCTCCAAAATCAGGGTTTCTTGTTTGGTATTTGTTTCTGATCAATCCCAGGGCTTTACACATGCTAGGCAAGTACTCTACCACTAGGCTAGAGTTCCAGACCTAAAATAGTGATTTTTAAGTTCTACTAAAATCATAAGCTACAAAGTTTACTCATGTCTTCCCTGGGTTTCACGTGGGACTCACCTACATTGCATCTGGTGCTCACAAACCCTGAAAATGCCCAACAACAACGTGGCCCACAATGTCTTCCAGAAACACATGGACCTACCTGTGGGTGATTCCTGTCCCAAGACTTCATCTGAAGGATGCTCACAGACATGACAGGAGCTATAGATGTGTATATCACTAGGAAATTGGGTGACACTCTCCCTGCTTTGTTCTCTGGCTCAGTAAAGGCTCTCAGCAAGGAGAACTACAGTAAGTGACCAAGAGCAAAACACCCAGACCACATGTGACCCAATTCACTTCTAGTCTTCAAAGATTATGGTGCTACTGTGCAGCTGTGTGGGAACAGCTGCATATGAGTCAAGTCACATCTAAAATGAGCTTCAAAGCCAGGCATGGT